TGACCTGTATCAAAACATGGCCCTGTATACTGTGTGTGTATGTATATATATATATATATATATTTTACACACAATATACTACAGGCGGCATTACTAATAAAGTAAGCTTGTTTGCCAATGACTTACTCCAATTTGACCACGTCTGACAAAAGGGTTCTGCGTGGTTCTGAAACGTTGCACTTGTTCTTCTGTGATATGATCTCTCTGTAATAACAGCTTTGGATAACATTTGAAGATCCATGGTGTGTGGCGAATATGTGCATTGATCCATGATGTGTCCAGTATCCAGCTGGTAGTCGCTGCAGTACCCCATCACTAAAGAATCCTGTTTCCAGGAATGTGTGTGATGAGAATATAGACAAGATTACTCCAATTTTTGACTAACCTCATGATTGTCTTTTTTACCTCCTTGTATAAATTACTGGAGCTGTTTGGCCTCTTTAGTAGTTTCAAGTTTAATGCAACCAACTCAGAATGCTTGAACATGACTTTGGGGTTTCTGAACAAACTTTTATTGCAGGATTTCTTCCCCTTTAGCTATTTCTTGCTATCACTCTATTTCTTACCTTCTGCAGGCCATAGATGGGGAGAAAACCAGCCGGTTTTTTTAAACAAAAAAACGAAAAATCGGTCGTTCAATAAGCCGACGTTACCACCAACAGTAAAAAAAAATCATCCGATTTTCTTCCTGTCTACGGCCGGCATTTAATTACTTCTGTCCCTTGCAGAGAGCCCCGCTATTATATTTGACATTAAAAAGTATTGCGGTTGCAACAATGTATCTATTTGTATCCATTTCGGATACAGATTTTTTTTCCGGATACAACTAGATACATTGTTGCAACCGCAATACGTTTCAATGTCAAATATAATAGCGGACTAGAATTCTTCTTCTTTCTCTTCTTCTTCTTTTCTCTTCTTTCTCTTCTTCTTCTTTCTCTTCTTCTATCTCTTCTTCTTCTTTCTCTTCTTATTCTTCTTCTTTCTCTTCTTCTTCTTCTTCTTTCTCTTCTTCTTTTTTCTCTTCTTCTTCTTCTTTCTCTTCTTCTTCTTTCTCTTTTTCTTCTTTTTCTTCTTCTTTTTTTTCTCTTCTTCTTTCTCTTCTTCTTCTTTCTCTTCCTCTTCTTCTTTCTCTTCTTCTTCTTTCTCTTCCTCTTCTTCTTTCTCTTTCTCTTCTTCTTCTTTCTCTTCTTCTTCTTCCTCTTCTTCTTCTACTTCTTCTTTCTCTTCTCTTCTTCTTCTTCTTCTTTCTTTCTCTTCTTCTTTTTCTTCTTCTTCTTTCTCTTCTTCTTCTTTGTTCTCTTCTTCTTTTTCTTCTTTTTCTTTCTCTTCTTCTTCCTCTTCCTCTTCTTCTTCTTTTTCTTTTTCTTGCAGGTCACGGCTCATGCGCAGATTTTTTATCGGTAAAAAGATTGGCCGATTTGCCCATCATTGCTGTGAAAATTTGCCGATTTTCAACCCTTCTATGGCCTGCATTAGAGTTTGTATTTCGGCAAACACAGAGAAGGTTTGTGGTCTCAACTATCTGCCCTTGCTGCCGGATTCTCAACAAAGTTTATGTTTATGGCCTAGTAGGAAGTATTTATGGTTGTAGGATCTCCCTCTGTAAGATGGATGCCCTGCTATGTTTCCTCTACCTTTTTAGACACTCCCAATTAGGGTCCCTCGTGCCGTCTTTCACACTCACTATTCTGTTTTCTATGGCCCTGATCCTTAGCCTGTTTACACCTCAATATTTTAGTTAAACATAAACAGGATGGTAGAGCTGACTAGCCCCATATGGGCTTCTACCATACAGCAGCCATTCTTAGACATATTGTTGACTGTTTTTCCCAACTCCTACTAAACTGTGGGTGTCCATATAGAGGCACCACTTACATTTACATTACATAGGAGACACCTGTCCCCACTTACATTTCTTCCTTGGATTTGCCCAACTTTTAGATTACCTTCTCAGTATCTCCCCCCCCCCCCCATGGTTAATTTCTTGCTGGGAATATGGTGATGCATATGGACACCAGTCCATCCAGTTCAGCATGTGTAGGTGTGTGTATGCATTTATGCCTCTACTGCTTTCCATATTCCTGTATCTTGTGTTTGCTAAGATGCCCATCTAAAAGGCTTTAGACATTAATGATACTTCCACTGACAACACCGATTGTGGAAGGGAGTTCCACATCCTTACCATTCTAACAGTATAGAGCCCTCTATGCAGTTTAAGGTTAAACCGCTACTTATCCAACTTCATTGGGTGACTATGTGTCCACTTGAGTAACCTGAGACTGAATAGTCTCTTCCATGTACTAGAATCACCATTCAGATATTTATATATTGTGGTTCTATCTCCCCTTAAGCTTCTCTTCTCCAGGGAGAATAAGTTTAATGTTTCTAGTCGTTCCTCGTAACTGAGGTGCTCTAGTCCCTTTATTAGCTTTGTTGCCCTTCTCTGGACTTGCTCCAGTTCCAGCACATCTTTCCTGAGGACTGGTGACCAGAACTGGATGGCATACTCAAGATGCAGCCAAACCAGACTGTATAGAGATAGAATTATAGACTTATCTCTTGAGTTAACACCCGTTTTAATGCACGCTAATAGTTTGCTGGCCTTGCTTGCTGCAGCTTGGTATTGCATGCTATTGCTGAGACTGTCATCTACTCGAGCCTCCCGATCCTATTCTATTCTCAATTCCCCCAGAGGTCCTCCCCCTATCATGTAGCTTGCAGTCATATTTGTAGCCCCATAAGTGTATTACTTTACATTTTCCTACATTTAACCTCATTTGCCATGTATTTGCCTATCCCTCTATTTTATCAAGGTCTTCTTGTAAAGTTTCTAAATCCTGCTGTGCTGTATTGCCCTGCTTAGCTTTGTAGTGTCAGCATACACTGAGATTGAACTATTTCTACCAACCTCTGTATCGTTTATGAACACAGAATTGGTCCCAGGACAGAGCCCTGTTGTAGTACAGTCACAACTGCAGACCATTTAGAACAGGGGTGTCAAACTGGCGGCCCTCCAGCTGTTGCAAAACTACAAGTCCCATCATGCCTCTGCCTTTGGGAGTCATGCTTGTAACTGTCACTCTTGCAATGCCTCATGGGACTTGTAGTTTGGCAACAGCTGGAGGGCCACCAGTTTGACACCCGTGATTTAGAAGAATACTCTATTTATCACCACTCTTTGCACACCCTCCTGTAACCAGTTTTCTATCCAGGTGCATACGCATAGGTACATAAAGCTCAACAAAAAAAGATTGCTAACAGCTTGAATTAAAATGTGCTACTTTGTATTTATTTTGGTATATTGTGTTTTAAGGTTTCAACCAATAGCATGTCTGTCTTTCTTTGAAATTAAACTGGATGAAAACTATCCAAAAGCAACAGTTGCTTTACAAATGACCAATTTACCTTTCAGCTACTAAAGTGATAGCGCAAACTTTTTGAAAATGATCAGCAATGAAAATAGGAATGATACACTGCCACTTATAACAATCAACTATCGTTAGGGTTAGGCACAAGATGATTAGCTGCTGAAGTGTTTTGGCCTTACTCTTGGGAAAATAGTACTCTGCATTAAACAGATGCAGAAAAGTTCCATGCTTTAAACAGGGGTGGACTGACAACTCATGGGGCCCCTGTGTCCTCACCCACACTCAAACCACACCCAAAAAAGCCTATGGAAGGTACTAGGGGCATCTCATGGGGCCCCCTACTGACCCTGGGCCCTCAGGCAGTGCCCGAATGGTCAGTCCGCCCCTGGCTTTAAAGTATATTTAGTTAGGTTTTGTTACTGGACTTTTTATAATGGCTACTTATTAGCTACTTTTTAGCTTTTCTAGGCAGTGGCCACCAGGTTGTCATGAGGTACACCTCATGGAACTACTATAAAAATGTTATGTACATTGCAGAATGGTCCTCCTGTAGCCTCCAGCCTTGTGTATTGTCCGTTCTCTTATGTTCCAGAGAATGCTGACCCAGCACTGACACAGCAGGCACCTCTCTGTCCTCTGTTCATAGACCTGCTCTGTGTGTATATGAACCTGTTCTGAACATTAACAGTGTCGACTGTGATCATTCATCATCCATTGACTTGGTGTTTGTCCTGTTTAATCCTCTGGTAACCTGATCTTCAACATCAAAGAGTTACATTCTTTATTTTTTTTGGAAACTGTAACAATTTGAAGTATATTATTGTACTGGTTCCAGTACTTTCTTTGGCGTTAAAAACATCCTGGATGGCTAAATTAGAAACCTACTAAGGATCAGCAATTTTTCTTTCAATGTGGACATTTTTACTTATTTCCCAGGTTATTTCTTCATCTTGTATTTCTGAGTTTTGAGAATTCTGTTTTTCTGGTTCCCTTGGGCATTCCTGGCATTATTGATGGTGGCTCATCTTCAAACCTTAAAGTCCTTAAATCCCTACTGTTTGGTTTCTACAATCTTTGGACTTCATGAATTTATTCCTCTGGACATCCTTATGATTTACTATGCTGGTACTTCTAATTATCCTAAATTTAACTCTGCTTTTTTCTATTATACTATCTAACCTTTCCAGTTGTGTTGGTTTTGCAATAGTAGACCCACAATATTCATCAGAGATTATTATCCTTCCAGGTACCAGAGACCCATCCTGTAACTTCAGCTTCTCCTGAATAGAGGTAGTATCTACTGTACCATATTTATATCTCCTAAGACACCCTTCCTAGGTTTAACATTTCTCAGCTAATTACATCAATCTATCAATTACTAAAATAATAATAGAATTTTTTTTTACTGAGCAATGCAATGATAGTGTTGTAGTGGAAATCAGAAGTTTGGCTACTTTGAACTTCCCTCAACCACATTTTCTTCAACAATAAGGAATTCTCACCTACACAGTTCAGTGAAATAAAATCACACCACACTAATAGGTAAGTACTGTCAATTCATCAGAACCAGCTTCAATTGTCAAAGTGAAGTTGCGATGGTGTATTAGATTGTAAGCTCTTGTTTTTACAGCTACATGATGAAAACTCCCATCCTTCTGCTTTTCCTGTTGGTTCTGCATGTCTCTGCAGCTACCTTCAAGATCTGTGCTTTTAACATCAAAAGTTTTGGAGAAGCTAAAGCATCCAATAAGAAGATAATGGGCACCCTGGTGAAGGTGGGTAATTGTTCAATTAATGATCTCTTTGGGTGTTCTTTTTAAAGGCAGATACCTTCTACAATGTGTGCAGAAACTCTTTTCTTGCTCCTCTTCCCTCGTTTCTTGCTGTTAGTGGTTGTAAACCTCAGATATGAAATATGAAGAAAGCACATCTCTCTATAGTGTGTACTTGTCTCAAGAGCACTAATGCCCAGTACACACAATCAGATCGGACAACTTATCGTTTGTTTTTGGTTCAGTACTAGCCTCATATCAAAAATGAAGAGGTTACTAAAGTTACGAAAATTCATGTAAGACCGAATACATCTTCAGAAGTGATGTAATGTATTGTATTGTAATGTATTCTTTCATTTCTGAGCATGAGTGATCTTGGTCTCATGAATTTTTACTTTACTGATTAAACGAAAATCATTTGTGCTGTTATCGTACAAGAAAATTTTTGGTGCTTGTTCCTTCGAATATTGTCTCATGTACAGTCGTGAACAGTTATTGAAAGCTGTGTACTAATAATTTTTGTCATTCGATTTTCTGATTGTGTGTATGGGGCATAAGTGTGATTTCTGTCTGCTGCTTCAATTCTCTGCTAGCAGCTTGAATCACTTCTGACAAGTTTTCCTAACACCAAGAGTAAAATGGTGACAGGGGAGGGACCTTCAGAAGACTGACAGCCTTAGCTCTGTTCCTGTGAGCTGTGTGGAGGGGATGTGTCTCTTCCCTCCAATCAGCTCTCAGAGTTCTCCTCACTGAGCTCTGCAGAGTATAACTTCAGCTCTCCGCCCCTTTTTTCTGGACTCTCAGACAAATTAACAATTTTGCACTTTGAATGGCTGTAGAATAGAGGAGACTGCAAATAAACAGGCACAACTTATGTGGGATGAATGGTTTAATCTTTGTGTATCACCTGAGGCCAGTCACTTTAGTGGGTATATATATATATATATATATATATATATATATATATATATATATATATATGTAAGGGTTTACAACCCAACAACTTTAAAGAAAAAGGCTTTTTTTTTTAAACAGATTCTGTCTCGCTGTGACATCAGTGCCATCCAAGAGGTCAGAGATTCCAAGGGAGAAGCTGTCCCAGCTCTTGTGACTGAACTCAACCGGTAACTCCAAAGTGCATGCTGGAAAAACACAAAAACACACACACACATATATATATACTGTATATATATGTATATATACAGTAAATGCAATTTGCAGCCCTTTTCTGATGTCTTTAAAGTGGTATTAGACTCAAAACCAAAAATGTAATATAACTAATATATTGCAGCTTACCAATTATTAGATGTGGTGGCTGCATTAGTTTCCTTTTTCAGGCTTTTTTCCCTGTGTTTTCAACTGGTGACCTGGCCAGTAACACACCTGCTGGGTCTCAAAAGTCTCCTTTCCATTTTCTGTAGGTACGATTCTATCCATCAATACAAACATGTGGAGAGTAAAAGATTGGGAAAGAACAGCTACAAAGAGCAGTTTGTCTTCATCTACAGGTATGGCAGAGGTAGATGTTTCCTTAAAGAAGAATATTTTTTTTGTTTTGCTTTAGATTTGGTTAAAATAAGGCATCATTACAATCTTCCTCTTTTTTGCTGTCCCCATCTGGGAAATGTTCCTTCACTTCCAGTCTGTCAATCATGACAGGATGTAAGTGGAAATACCCCCAAAACAAGGGGAATTTTTGCCATTGACACTTGTCCACTGAACAGGCACCCCTTCTGGATGATTCCCCACTACCTAGTGTTTCAGCCGTAACCTGTTGGATTTTTCTTTCTTTTCCTGAATGTGGACAGCAATAAAAAAGCCAGCAGAGGCTGCTTCCCCACTTTACCCAAAAGGTAAAAATGTCCAAATGCAAATGCAACAAATGCATGACCCCAATCCACACATACACAGATCAGCCAAAACATTATGACCACCCACTATATCGAGGCATGGGCTCCACTAGACCTCCGAAGGTATGCTGTGGAATCTGGCACCATCTGTAGCAGATCCTTTAAAGGATAAGTTCACCTTTCATAACATGTTACATGTTACATCCATATTCAGGGTGTAACATGTAATGCATTACAGCTGTCACAATTTAAAAAAAAAAAACTCAACCATGCGGGTCCCACCTGCCCAGCCACGTCACTCATTCACAGTGTTCTGTGAATAAGAACACTACAAGTTCCGACAGCTTTGTTGGCTTGTAGTTCTTAATGAACAACCACGGCGCTGTGTGTCAGTAAGTATCTGCTTGCCTGTACCAGATGTACAGGCACACAGAAACACTGACAGGTCTGCAGGAGCCCTGCATGGCATCAGCGATTTGCTGATCGCTGGTGCAATGCTTTAGAGGCTCCAGAAACAAAAAATAATACATTAACATTTTTTACCTGCAAAAAAAGTGTATAGATAATTTTTTGTTAAAAGGTGAACTTATCCTTTAAGTCCTATAAGTTGAGAGGAGGGGCCTCCACGGATGGATAAGACTTGTTTTTTCCAGCACATCCCACCAATTGAGATCTAGAGAAATTGAAGACAACATCACAAAGTCATTGTTTTTCTCAAACTATTGTTGGATTCATCGGACCAGGCCACTATCTTCTATAGCTTCATGTTCCAGTTCTGATGCTCACGTTCACATTGTAGGTGCTTTTGGCTGTGGACACGGATCAGCATGGGCACCCTGACCGGTCTGCAGCTACGTAGCACCATATGCAACAAACTGTGATGCACTGTGTGTTTTCTATAAGAACCAGCATTACCTTTTTCAACAATTTGAGTTACAGTAGCAATTCTATTACCTTGGCCTACACAGGCTAGGCTTCTCTACCCATGTTCATCAATAAACCTTAGCTGCCTTTGACCCTGCAACCGGTTCACTGGTTTTCCTTCCTTGGGCCACTTTTGTTAGGTCCTGACCACTGCAGACTGGAAACATCCCACAACAGCTGCAGTTTTGGAGTTGCTCTGACCCAGTCATTTAACTATTACAATTTGGTCCTTGTCAAAGCCATTCCAATTCTTATATTTTCCCATTTTTTCTGCTTTCAACACATGTTCAGGGACAACATGTTCACTTGCTGCATAATATATCCCACAGGTATTTTAAGATGCCATTGTAACATGATAATCAATGTGGGCAGGGAGGGTGATTGGCATGGCAGGATGGGGGGGATTACTGGAAATGATTCTCTGTGTGGCTCTCTGCAGCAGCTGAAAGCTGGCTTCTTCTCCTCTCCCTCCCGCTGGCTTTCAGCTGCTGCAGAGGGAGCCATACACCGTGCGCCCCCACCCCCCTCCAGTACTGCTGGCTTCCCTCATCTCCTTTCCATCGGCAGCTACAAGAACACAATAGGATCCTTCAGGATGGAGAACGGAGGAAATATATCACATTTACCAGCTCCTTCCTTTAAATGATAACAATGAGTGATTAGTACTGATCACTTACTGTGTTCATTCATAACTGAGACATAGTAAGCTTTTTAGAAGGGGGCCCTGCCATGTTGGATGTATGGGGCCCCATGGTTTCTAACTGCAGCCCTGGGTACGGGGAACTTCTCCCTGTACTGCTGCCACATAGAGGGAGCAAATTGCCAAGCGGCTGCAGGAGCCAAAACATGTTACATGTTCCCCCCTAAAAAGGGGAGGATCATGTAACATGTTCACGAAGGTGAACTTATCCTTTAAATTAAACTGAGCATATAGTCAAAAAATGCATAGAGAAGATCACTTACAGAAGATCACCTACAGTTAAAGGGGTTCTAAAGGCAAAATATTTTTTTACCCTAATACATTTACTGCATTATGGTAAAAAAAAACCTTCATGTATCTGTCCCTCCCCCCACCCCTGAACACTTACTTGAGCCTGATCTGGATCCAGCACTGTGCCCTTCTGCAGCAGCTCTTCTCTGCTCTCTCTATTTTCATAGGTGACGGAGCAGCTGTGGGGGCCAGTGCCTCCTGCTACTGTCAGTCAAATCCAGTGTGGAGAAGGAAGGCTAAGCTCCTACAGATGGATATGATTGAGCCCGCCCTCATATCTGCCTCCATAGCAAGCAGTTGCTATGGGGGCAGAAGCAGACTTGGAGGAGCCAAGATCTCTGGCAGGGACCCCAGAAGAGGAGGTTTGGGGCTGCTCTGTGCTCTACTGTTGCACAGAGCAGGTAAGTATAACATGTTTGTTATTGTAATAAAAAAAATAGCTTCACAATCACTTTAACATCAAAACAATCAGGACAGAGCTTTATCTTTTATGCAGCTGACATTAGGCAGAGTTAAATATCCCCCCCCCCCCCAAAAAAAAAAACAAAAAAAACAATCTTGGCCCTGTCCCTTTTACCTCCCTATTAGACAATTATACCGCCGGTCACATGAAAGAACCAACAGGAAGGTCCAGGGAGCAGAAGGTGGTGGTGCCAACTTTACCTCCTACTAGGAAAGTCAATATTTATACAGTACATACTCAGATGCCTATATCTCTTGATCTGCTGATCATTTTGACTTGTAGCTTTCACTAGAAGTAATTTTTGATTAAGCATTTTCCCACAAAATGCCTGTTTTGAATTTCCCAGATCTGTGAAAGGTTTACTTTATTACAATCTTCTGTTGGCAAACATTTTATACTGTTTTATGAAGATAGTGAGTCTGTGAAGTATGAACTTGGTCCTGGACCCAGTTAGAATTTTTAGTAGTCCCCCATAACTCCTACACCTTGCATATTATACTTGCTGCAGATCTGCAGTTGTCTCCACCTAGAGTTGTAACTATGGCTTTCCTTACATGGCAGATCGGACTCAGTAAAGGTGGTCGATTGGTATCAGTATGTGGAAGACCATCCAGACCACCCCGACGCCTTTGCAAGAGAACCGTTTGTTGTCCGCTTCCACTCACTGAGAACAGGTAGGTTGTACTTATTGACTCTTGCTATCTCTGTGTAGGACAGGCATGCCAAACTCAAATAGAACAGCGGTCTGCATTTAGAGAAAATAATCCTTAAGGGGCCAGTTTATGTCTGTTAAAGAGCACACATACAAAACAGAAATCACTAAGGACCCCAAAGAAGGAGCAAATGGTCCTCACATGGCTCAAAGCTATCATGCATATTAAAGCAGAACTAAATCCATCAATTTAATGGTTTTTAAAAACAATTCCATTCCTGGCATGCATTACATTTCCTTGTGATTTCAACCAAGCTGTCAAACCACAAAATCCCTGGACTCATAACTGACCATGCGCAACACCATGTCAGTTCCAGATCAAACAGAGGCCAAGATGGCAGCTTCCTTGGCTTCCTTCCCAGGAGGGTTTGTTCCACTTAAATGACGGACTGCCTCTAAGTACTACAGTGGGACAGTTACATCAAAGGCTTTTTACTGGGTATTACATCTTGATGATCAATTCCATGTAAACATTTCAAATGTTCTTTGTGACAGTTATTAAAGACTTTGCCCTGATGTCTCATCACACCTGCCCAAGGGAAGCGGCTAAGGAGATCAACCGTCTCCTGCAGGTCATGCTGGAGGTGAAGAGTCACTGGAGAATTGAGGTAGGCATGGAAAAGTTTGTTCTATAGGTTGTTATTCTCCAAGCTTCCACAGCACCAGATTAGGTTTAAAGACTGTAGTCATACCGGCACACACCCTAGTAACAGTTTGGGTAACAATGTAAAGGATGCCATTGCTAACTTCTGCCTGAAAATACTAGTTGATCAGCTGTCATGTTGATCCTCTGCTCTCAATACTTCCTGAATCATGAGTCTGCACGCAAAGCAGGAAGGTCGGAGCTACATTTTCTAAAGCTGGCCATACACATAAAGATTTTTTTCTGTTCAGCCTGCACTTAATAGGTTCCTCCATCCATGCTACACAGGGTGGATTGATGACTCTCCCCACTGGGGTATTTCATTCTGTTTGCCGGCTCTGCCAGCTGTCAAAATATCTGAACAGTGCCTCCATCTAACTGGATGCAGGCACAAATTCGCCAGCAATTTTAAGCCTAGCTCCCTTGATTTTTCAATCAAGGGATGTTGTGTGCGAAGGCAGACAGGGTCACCCTCTCAGATACGGCTGGTTCATTAGAAATCAGAAGACATTTGCTCTGTGTATGGCCAGCTTTAGGCCCCTTTCACATGACTGGACTCCAAGCGGATCCTCCTGCTCATTGGGGGATCTGACTGCTGATCCCTGCTGAGCAGGCAGATGACAGGTCCGTGTCTGCTCTGCTTGTGCAGAGCAGAGCAGACATGGGCACAGCCTGCTGTACTCTATGGGGCAGTTGGATGTAAACAGACCGCCTGTATGTTTTCATCCGACTTTCATCCGATCCGATCCACTGGACGGATGGGAACAGATCCCCCATCCGTTTTTGGTGGATCGGATGGGATGCAGGTGTGTGTAAATGGGCACATGCCCATTTACATCCACCTCACCATAGAGAACAATCGATGGTCTGATTGGATCCGCCTGTCTATTTTTCAGTCCGCCCATGTGAAAGGGGCTCAAATCAGTGACTTACAAAGTGCTGAAGCTGAATCTTGGTCAATGGTCGCCCCAATCCAGTGATTACATAGCAATAGAGAAGTAACACACTGATGTATGAGCTCTGTTATGTTCTGTCCTCCAACTGGCCAACGATCTGTACCTTAATAACTTTGCTTCTCCTGCCTCTTCCAGTTTGGCTCATGTTATGTAGGGAACTACCAAAGGTTAATACAAAGACACACTAATTAATTATTTAAAAATACATTTTTATATTTTTCTATACAGGTGAAACTCGAAAAATTAGAATATCGTGCAAAAGTTCATTTATTTCAGTAATGCAACTTAAAAGGTGAAACTAATATATGAGATAGACTCATTACATGCAAAGCAAGATAGTTCAAGCCGTGATTTGTCATAATTGTGATGATTATGGCTTACAGCTCATGAAAACCCCAAATCCACAATCTCAGAAAATTAGAATATTACATGCAATCAATAAAACAACGATTGTACATAGAACAATATCGGACCTCTGAAAAGTATAAGCATGCATATGTACTCAGTACTTGGTTTGGGCCCCTTTTGCAGCAATTACTGCCTCAATGCGGCGTGGCATGGAAGATATCAGCCTGTGGCACTGCTGAGGTGTTATGGAAGACCAGGATGCTTCAATAGCGGCCTTCAGCTCTTCTGCATTGTTCGGTCTCATGTCTCTCATCTTTCTCTTGGCAATGCCCCATAGATTCTCTATGGGGTTCAGGTCAGCCGAGTTTGCTGGCCAATCAAACACAGTAATCCCACTGTCATTGAACCAGGTTTTGGTGCTTTTGGCAGTCTAGGTCCAGGATCCGTCTGTGAGCCACCACGGCTCTTGATGCACTGACTCCAGCCTCAGTCCACTCCTTGTGAAAGTCCCCAACACTTTTGAATGGCCTTTTCCTGACAATTTTCTCCAGGCTGCGGTCATTCCTGCTGCTTGTGCACCTTTTTCTTCCACACTTTTCCCTTCCACATAACTTTCTATTAATGTGCTTTGATACAGCACTTTGGGAACATCCAACTTCTTTTGCAATTACCTTTTGAGGCTTTCCCTCCTTATGGAGGGTGTCAATGATGGTTTTCTGCACAACTGTCAGGTCAGCAGTCTTTCCCATGATTGTGATTCCTACTGAACCAGACTGAGAGACCATTTAAAGGCTCAGGAACCCTTTGCAGCTGTTATGGCTTAATTAGCTGATTAGAGTGGGACACTTTGAGCCTAGAATATTGCACCTTTTCACAATATTCTAATTTTCTGAAATTGTGGATTTGGGGTTTTCATGAGCTGTAAGCCATAATCACTACAATTATGACAAATCACGGCTTGAACTATCTTGCTTTGCATCTAATGAGTCTATCTCATATATTAGTTTCATCTTTCAAGTTGCATTACTGAAATAAATGAACTTTTGCACGAAATTCTAATTTTTCAAGTTTCACCTGTATACTTGATTACATTTTTTTAAAGGTAGAGGCTAACACAAACAGGGAAAATATGCAACTGTCATGCTAATAGAACCCTGGTGTAATTTCAGCTCACATTCCCAGTGTAGAAGGGCAAGTGTACTAGCTCATAAAATACCCTGTGCAGATATCCACAGGAATGTTTGTATCACGACAACTGCATTTTGTATGGGAAATAATATACTGTATTATTTTCTCTGATCTCAGAGTGTTATGCTTCTTGGAGACCTGAATGCAGCTTGTGGCTATGTGACAAATGAGGAATGGAAGAATATTCAATTGCGGAGCAGTAATACCTTCCACTGGCTGATCGGTGATAAAGACGACACAACAGTAAACACCAAAACACATTGTGCCTATGACCGGTAAATACTGGGATGGAAGAATTGGGTCAATTCTGGTCCTGTAATATTTGACATAACCTAATTCGTTTATATTCACACAGCATTGTTGTACACGGAGAAGAATTTCTCAAAGCGATCATACCAGGATCTGCCAAACCATTCAACTTCCAGAAAAAACTCGGGCTCTCTGAAGAGGAGGTAGGAATGACTCTTGCTGGATTTTGTCATAAATGTTCTCCTTTGCAACAAACCTTAACTATAGGGTGTAAAAGATTAATTGATAAAGCACAGGGCCTGTGAGCTCTAGTCAGCTGTATACAAATGCAGGACGTCTTCTAGAGGACACGCTATAAACGCTCTAACGCTGAAAAACATGGCAAAACGCTGTAAATCTGGCATTTTTGGACTTTTTTTTGTTTACAAAAAAAAGTCAAACAAATGCAAAAAAAAGCTGAAAATCTCACGTTTTTAATGTGACTTTACACAGCTAACGTTACCAGCGTTATCAAAACACCCAGAGTGCATGGAGCCTACAGGATAGGTTCACCTTTTATTATAAATGCACTTTTTTGCAGGTAAAAAAAAAAAAAAAATTTTTTTTTTTTTACACTGCAGCCTGTAAAGCATTGTGCCTGCAATCAACAAATCACTGGTGCAATGCATGGCTCCTGCAGACTCTCAGTCAGCTTTCTACCTGTACTTTCTGTAGTTACTGAATCACAGGATAAATCAATGAACTACAAAAGCGCTCACCAGCAGCCTTACAGTTCATTGAGAACTAAAAACTGCCATGGTGACTGATGGTAGTTGTAGTTCATTCATTCAATACTGCGACTATGTGGGCGGAAGCCTGCTGTCAGGCAGGGTGGTAATGGTAGTAGAGGCAGGTGCTGTACTGTAACATCTTAAGCATTACATACAGGTGTAATATGTAACACATTACAAATGTGAACTTAGTTTCAGCAGCCAGCAAATTACAAACTTGAAGCAAATCAGAAACATCAGTGAAGTTCAGTAAACTAGCATCTCTAGACATAGTACATGAACGGCAACCTGTGTGTGTATCCAAGTGTGACTTTCCTTCAGATATATCATTCCTATGTTTGATCCAAGTTTCTTGGAAAGGGATTACAATTCTAAGCACCTGTAGGTAGGTTCCTAGTAAGCCCACCTAAGGCAGCCGAGAGCTGCACATGGCATAGAACCCATTAGTGTATAATGCAAATCTTAAAATGTTTTCTTCTTTACAGGCCCTGGAGGTCAGTGACCACTTCCCAGTGGAGGTCAATCTTCGGACTGACCCACGGATGGACAGAGAGCTATAACTGTCCATTTCATTCCAGAAAACTATTTGTATATGATTATTAAGCTATATGGCATCATTACATTTCAGTTTGTCGCATTCTTCACCAAATCACTTCACTAAGTTTTAATCAAGCAGAACACACGAAAATCCAATAAAACCTTTACTTGGAGCAGTCGGTCTGTTCATTATAGCAATTAACGAGGCAGGTCAGCTAACACTGGCTGCTCACTCAAGTGTTTTGTTAGTCCAGCAGGGAACTAGAATTTGCTTTTAGACTTGGATTTAGTTTGGTGGAACACCATGACTACACTTCATTGTCTCCTGGCTGCACTGTGGCTCCAGCAAGTCGGGTAAGCAGTCAACGCAAAAGGCAACATTTAGAAGCCACTTATGTTCCAGTTCCATGTATACAAACCTATTTCCTGCTGCTGCTGCTCCAGGCTCTTGCCATCCATGGTCTCTATACCCAAGCATCTGAACAGCACCAATGTGTGTGACTGGGGGCAACTCCTCATACATTGAGCGTCCACTCCTCACTACCAGCAGCTAGGAGCAAAGTAAACATGCATGCTGGTGGGGACAGGCGTATACAGCAATCCTATTATATATATCTTGCTGTATGGCCAAAATACAAGTCTACGCAAGGCTGGATTTATACTGTTGAGGTGCATTAACAAGTTGCCAACTATAGCCAAAAGACAACTACAGCAGTCATCTAGTTCTGGAGGGTGTCTATAGATGTCCTTCCAGAATCCCACCCACCCCTACACACTGATTGCTGTCCATTGTACACAGATTGAGGTAAAGGGCCAATCACAGTGACCCTTTACTATGTGACCAGCTGTGCCCAATGTGTTTTTGGCATTTATTTACCTCATACGCCATCACTTAGGAAAGGAAAGCCAGCAATTCTGACAGGGCACATTTACACTAATCATCAATGATGAAAAACTGCTTATTTCATAACCAACCAAGAATAACTTTTTTTCAAAATATTTTGTTTAGCAAACATTTAAAAGAAAAAAAAAAAAAACTAGTGGTGGTTAAATACCACCAAAAGAAAGCTGTCTCCAAAACCAAAAAAAAGTATATATAATATTGGTACAGTGTTGCACGACCTTTCAATTGTCATAGAGCAACAGCACTGAAAGCTAGAAATTGGCCTGGGCAGGAAGGGTAGTGTTTAGGGGCAGCACATTTCATTGATTACAATTGTGGTGTGCTACATTACAAAAAAATAGTGAATTGGTAAGAACAAATGGCACCACATCACACAAACACCCACTGTCAATGCAAGTGTGAACCTGGCCTAAAGTATGACCATTATAAAGCGTGCAGATACAATTAGAGGGATATTTAATCTTTTCAGCAGATGACAGTGGCTAATTCACCCCACTAATGGCACCACAGTGTAAAAGCATTGGGTGGAGTTGGCCTTTAAGCCCTTGTCCACATCCGGTGCAACTTGTCAGTTTCAAATCGAATGACAAGTCTCACCTCATTGCCTGCAATGGACCCATTCAAATTGGTGCAACTCCAGAGTCACAATGATTTTGAAAGTAGTTCCTGCTCTATTTTTTTGCAATTTCAGGCATGCTTTGTACAAAAAAAAAAAATCTGTGAAGTTGCACAGATGTCTTCCAAGTCACAGACATGAGACTGACATCGTGCAACTTCAAGTAGCACAATTTCAAAGTCATATCCATTGTGAACCAGGGTTAGAAAAGCCCCAATTATTAGGCACATACTAAGATTAATAGGAGTAAGACAAACACATTTAAAAAAGTGTAAGCGCTGATGATGTCATCTTAATCCTTGGGTCATATCAGTTAACCAACCTAAAAAACCATGCAGCAGATGCGATCCAATATAAAACTTACAAACGTATAACATAGGAATGAAATACCAAATTTCTTTTAATTACATACAGCCTTGTATAGTTAAAACTATATGGCAGAAAAACGCACTGTACTTCAAAACTTTATTGACACAAGATCTCAAAGTACATAGGCCAGATAAAAGTGGGGAGCTCATTCAACATGCAGTGACTTCCACTTAGCCAGAGGGCCTCTGTTAGGCATGTACTTGACACCACACCCATCAGGAACAAGACTTTTCTCAGCCACCATGGTCTCAAAGTTCTCAGCATTGAACTTCGTGAATCCCCACTTCTTGGAAATGTGAATCTGGAGAAGATTAGGGACATGTTATAAACAGCAGTAACAAATATTAAACCTATAAAATTACATATTAAAGATGAATAATTCATACATATGCCCAACCACAGCACTACCTGCAACAAACTTTACCCAGAACCAGCCTTAATGATTTCAAAGTGAAATTCCAGTAGGAAAAGGGTTAGAATCTTAATTCATTAATGTATGGATCATGAAGGAATTTAACTGCATGCATGCTTGAGGACAAAAGCATGCAAATGTTCCCAAACTGGGCATGACATTTGTGGTTTTAACACATCCAGTTAAGCAAAAAAAAAAAAAAAAAAAAAAAAAAAAAAAAAAAAAAAAGAGCAGTGAATGAAGATCCTCACGGTATTTAAAACCTAAATGTTTTATGTTTGTCAGCAATTGTTGGAGGTTCATTCCAGGATCCACTGAGCCAGTGCCTTAAAATTGCAAAATATAGTCAGCCTACTGTATGCATTCCTTCATTTGGGATGCCCATAAGGTCTCAGACAGCCCAACAGGCAAGTAAAGGAGTGCAAACAGAAGGCTTACAATGCTAATTGTGAAACAGTGGTGCAGTGTGGGTCAGCCTTCACCAGAAGCGCAATTACTGACAGGATTTCCAGGTAAAACTTTGCAATACACAAAAAAAGAAAAAAAAAAAAAAAAAACAAAAAAAAAAAAAAAAAAAAAAAAAAACACTATAAAGAGACATGCCACCAAAACATACTAAATGAGAATTTGGGTTTACACACCTGAAATTAAAGGACAGACATTACTGTATATTTGATAATCTGATCAGTTAGAACTGCATTTTACCTTCTGGCGGCCGGGGAATTTAAACTTGGCTCTGCGCAGAGCTTCAATCACATGCTCCTTGTTTTGGGTCTTGGTGCGGATGGACATAATGACCTGTCCAATGTGAACTCTGGCCACTGTGCCCTGAGGTTTCCCAAAAGCACCACGCATTCCAGTCTGGAGCCTGTGGAGGTAAATAAGTTAGAAACGGAAGAAGTTGGCACAGAGGCGTCTCCAAGGCCCCTTGAAGCACCAAGCATAGGCAGCAAAACTGAGGAAGTTGACAGATGTCTCCAAGGCCCCTTAAAGAACTAAGCATAGGCAGCAAAGTACATACACAGCCAAGGATAATACTGTATGCAGCCATTGCACACCAGCTTCTGATTATAGCAAAAGTTGGTCGGCTTAATTAACTGCAAGACGGAAAATGCTTAATTATGTAAACCAAAACACGTCATATTCCTGATGTACCATGTGCATGTATGAAAAAGTATCCTATTCTTTGTATTGCTTCCCTTGTGTGAAATCCCTGATGTTCCTGTCAGTCCGTCTGCGTTCCTATTATAAAAACAGTATGCTAGGCAAAAGCACAGCATGGTCAGTTCTATAGCTGTGCTGGGATCTCAGCCTTTCACTGGGAAAGTCAGTGTGCTGTTTTTTTTTTTCCTCCTCCCCCAACTCTTATACAGCTGAGAACAAAGGGAATGTGAAGGTTTACAATCCCTTTAAGGTGGGCTGCATGTATTCTCCTAGCTGCTGGAACAAAATGAAAAATCTACAACTGTCACGGGATGCAAAGCACTAAGCTCAAATCTAATAATGCTAAACTCGTAACTTTAGCATTCAGGCATTTGTAGCCAAGCAGTCAGTAAGGTAGCTAAGCTGTTAGCAATGTGATCTTACGATTCCAGTAAGACCATCTGCACATGGGCCCAGTCACACTAGAACACAGTGCAGAAAATCAGTGTTCCTGTGCATTTTCCACACCACATTCCAATCGCTCTGCCCTTGCGATCTGCAGGAGGTGTCAGTACAAAGCTAAAGACACCCTAAGCGCAGGTAACAGAGTTTGTTTGCCCGCACCAACCTGATGGTACAAAAGCACCAAGTGATCTGGTTACTGAGTTTCAAAAAGTAATACATGCACTTCTTTTGGTGCAGTGCGATTTCAGCCCTTTTATAACGACTCAGAACTGCATGTGAATCAACCAAGAACCACACAGGGTTCCTGTGCAATTTCGACATGCAGTTTCTAGTGTGAATAGGCCCAGTTATGCATAGGCTCCCCAAAGGTACCTGCCCTATAAAATTTGTGCCAGAACACTAACTGGCTCTATAAAGTTGGAATTTTCTGGAAAAAACTTTGCTCTTTTGGCTTCCATACCAAGACTAAGAGGTCAGAACATCTACTACATTTACCTATCAGCCCCAGCGCAGGATAACATTTTGTTGATGCGGATGACGTGGAATGGGTGGAGACGCACTCGGATGTGGAAACCATCCTTGCCGCAGCTCTTTACCATGTACTTATTGGCACAGATGCGAGCAGCTTCAAGAGCTAGAAAGAAAACATAGGTCTGTTAATCCAGAGAATGATCACTAAGGCATTCTTGTCTGCCAGCAGCAGAAAATGTCTCCCAGGTCCCTTAGAGCACTTTGTATGGGGTGAGACAAAGCGCATACACAACCAGAGAATTGCTGTATGCAGCCATTGCACACCAGCTTCTGATAATGGCAAAAGCTGGTCGGCTTAATTAGCTGCAATCTTATTCCTGCACATTGCTTTTATTACAGCTAACTGTTCTTTGCAAGACCTTAAACAGACTGGTGAATACTGCTGAAGGCATCAACCCAGCCATTTTGCATTTACATAAGGATGCTGAGGGGCTTAACCATCCAATGAGATCTTTATATCTTTAGAGATCTAGTGGCAAGGTTGTCTGCCGAGACACATTGTGTGTTTGTTTTTTTTTTTTACAAAGGCAGATAAAGTAAAGCGGACCACACAAACACAGGATCCGAACACTTTTCTGAAATGTCATTTATAAACAGGACTATTTACAGCATGTAAACATGCAGTCATTAGCACACATTGGTAAAAACAAAGCCAGAGTAGCTCTACCTGCAGATTGCTGTAAACCAATCAGAGCAATCACAACAGACCTGGGTTTTACTTTATCAAGCCTTAGGGTTGGTACATAATTTCACCCAACAAGCCTTAACCACTTACCTACAGGACACTTATACCCCCTTCTTTACAAGGCCAATTTTCAGCTTTCAGCGCTATCACACTTTAAATAATTGCGCAGTCATGCAAGATTGTACCCATATGAAATTTTTATCATTTTTTTCTCACAAATAAAGCTTTTTGGTGGTATTTAATCGCCGCTGGGCACTTTATTTTTTGCGCTATAAACAAAAAAAAGTGCAAAAAAAATTTGAAAAAAAAAAAAAAAAAAAAGTTTGTTTCCATTATAAAATTTTTCAAACAGGTAATTTTTCTCCTTCACTGATGTGCATTGATGAGGCAGCACTGATGGGCACTAATAGGTGGGACTGATAGGCAGCACTGATGGGAACTGATAGACGGCACTGACTGGCACAACCACTGGGCACTGACTGGGCGCACTTCTGGGCACAGGTGGGCGCACTTTTGGGCACCGATCATCAGGGCACTGATCATCAGTGCCCTGACAAGTGTTGATCCCTGCTCTGACAACTGCCGGTTCTCGGCAGTACTTTCCTCACAATCTGACAGCGTGAGGAAAGTGCAGCCGAGAACCAGCAATTGCATTTCCCTGTGATCAGCGTGTCATTGGACATGGCTGATCACATGGTAAAAGGCCGCTGTGATTGACCTTTTACCACATCATGTGATCAGCTGTGTCCGTAGGATCGCCTAGTGCGCGCCCCCAAGCGCGTTCTGGGAGGACGTCATATGACGCCATCCCAGAACTTGCCGGCCGCAGTGTAGCCGTCATTCAGCTATCTGCGGTCGGCAGGTGGTTAAACAAGGAGTGTTCCTCATCTAAAGAGACCCTGTCCAAAGCTTAATACCTGCCATGAAGCAGACATTATCTGACATTTAACATTTCTAAAAGCATTTTACTGCACAGGGTCCATTTAGTACAATGGATTTATGCCACCCAATAATGTTAACTCTTTCACTACCAGCATAAAAGATCATTCCAGGGTGCCTACTTTCCAAAAAGGGGGTCATTTGAGGAAGGAGGGGGGTATTTGTACTGTTCTGGCATTTTGTATACAACAGAAAGCAACAGTTACAAAAGGTTTGTCTTTTTTCCTTTATATATTTAAAAAAAAAAAAAAAAAAAAAAAAAAAAAAGAAACCTCTGGTTATTTTATACCAAAGAGTTCTGTCTCAAATAAAATTATACGAAATTAACTTGGGTACAGTATTGTATGACTGGGTCATTATCAAAACTATCACAGCACTGGAAACTAAAGATGGTTAAGGACTCATGCCTAGATGGCCTAGAACCCCAAACCATGTGACCAGTGACTGTCCAGTTTGGCTTTTTATGGTCAGCAGAACTACCCTTTAGAATGAGTTAGCAAAGATTTTCCAGCAGTCCCAAAACAGATGCAAGTAACATCTAAACTACTTGTCATATTCAGTAAAAATTAGCGAGCCTAAGGCTGGCAGTTTAAAGCTATATATTCCAGTGCAGAATATCCAGGCTAACACTTTAATAAAAGTGAGAACACAAGCTCCATAGCTGGTTGGTCTTACCTTCAGATGACAGCTGCTCGTACTCATCGGAGACCATGTGACCACATAGTGGGAACTCATCCACCTTGGCCTTCTTGCGACCCAAGTCAAAAATCCTGATTTTGGGATCTGGGGGGGAACAAAAACAAAAAGCAAATGTGCTACAGATGAAAGAAAAAAAATAAGACTTACTGGCACAATGTCTATCTCTCTGAATATCTAAACATTTAAATTCCTTGGAAACAGACTAAACTTGACATCTATTAAAGACCATTAGGATCTACAAAAGAACATATTCCTTTTAAAGTCAGCCACAAAAAAGTAAATGCATTGAAAAGTAAATTGACTGAAATAGGATATTACAATAGAGTTATATATTACAACTAAGGCAATGTGCAGAAGTAGATTTAGTGACTTCTGCTTGACAGCTATAACTGGCCTCACAGCAGCCAGTGCTTTACTAAACAAGGGAACTTCAACATCAAAAAGTCCTGTCGGCATTTTCACAAAGTACTTAAGTGGCAGCATGCACTGATCCTTGGTCTATGAGACACCCTGGTAGGCGCTTAGTAGGCTCTCTGACGTCCATGTGTACAAGGGCCCTACCATGGAATGCCCAACATATCACTCCAAACTAAATGTCCATTCATGGCCAGCAATCCTATCATATTTAGAAATAGGAAACCAGACGCTTCATGGGCTTAACTAAATTTAAAGAAATCTCAGTAATTAAGCCAACACCAGGCCCAGTGATCCAACAGGCTAATTACATGTCTTCAGCTCCAAGAAAATTATAAAAAGCGTGGTATACTTGGACACATTAGGGAATACTGGAAAACTGCATTGTAATGATGAACATACAAGTGTCTTGTCATCGAGTAGAGGGGGGTGGAGGGGTAGAGGAAAAAAAAAATCTATTGAATCTTACCTGGGACACCCCTACAAAAGCGGGACTTTGGGTAGGGCTTGTTTTTACAGTATCTGTAACTAAACACAAGAATATCAATTTAGAGCAATGTAAAAATAAATAAAACCAAACACTGCCATTTACCTTTACATAAAATTATCAGAATATTTTGCATGTAGAACCCAGTTTACAGCTCCAATTGTGGAGTATAAACATATATTCCTATAAAGTCATCGTTTGGGGCATTGAGGGCTCATTCACATGAGCACATATGTCTGTACAGCATGCAAGATCAATCTGTTTATGCATCCAGAGCAGCCTATGTTAGTCATTGGAAATGCATAGTTGAATGGACTCACCTATACAGCCCCAAATGCAGACAGTGTGCGTTTGGGGCCATGCACCAATGCCTGTCAAACTAGCTGACAACAGAGCGGGGGGGAGGAAAGAAGGATGAATGGGTGCTGGCACTACAAAACACAGAAGGTCTCTGTAGTGACATTAAAGTGACCTGATGTCCTACACTGACTGGCAGCTGCCATTTAAGCTTAAAGCGGAGTTCCACTCACCCTGTCAAAAAATAAATGTCAGCAGCTATAAAAACTGTAGCTGCTGACTTTTAAAAAACAGCCACTTACCTGTCCCTCGCAGCCAGTTACACCGGCCGTCCTGTATTCCAGGAGGAATACAGCTGGGTACCCACTGCGCATGCGCGCGAGTAGCGCTGCGCTTCATGAATGGTCCTGTAGTCTTCTAGGGCCTGTCACATGTCCCAAAAGACTACAGGGAGGAAGGACACCTTCCGCTTCTGGTCGCCTAAGCGATCCGACCGGAAGTGGGAGCGAGTACCTGTCAAATTTGGGTACCCGCCCCCCATAGGTGCAAATCCTTAATGGAGAGCAGTCCTTAAAGTAAAACTTCCACTTTTGGGTGGAGCTCTGCTTTAAGGCCATGAATTAAACTACCCTTGCATGCCCCTCCTCCCACCACAAGGGTTAAACGCATACTGACCACTTGGTAACAACGCTATAGCCGAATGACTTCTACAGCGCGGTTATCCAGTTCTGGGTCCTCCCACATGCCCCCAGCGATCTGTGATTAATGTGTCCTATGGACACAGCTGATCACCAGGTAAAAGGCCAATCACAGCAGCCTTTTACCATGTGATCAGCTGTGTCCAATGACACAGCAGATCACAGAGTAAATACAGTTGCTGATTATCGGTGGCACTATCCTCTTGCTGTCACAGCGTGAGGATAGTACTGCCGATAACCGTCAGCTGTCACAAAGCAGAACACCAGTGATCATCAGGACTGCCCGTCAGTGACCATCAGTGCAGCATCATCAATGCCACCTCATCACTGCTGCCTATCTGTGCCACCTCAACACACATCAGTGAAGGAGAAAAATTACCTGTTTGCAAAATGTTATAATACAAAGGAAAAATAGTTTTATTACAAATTTATTACTGGTTTTGTTTATAGTGCACAGCTTCTGTTTCTGATCACCTAGGCAGTCAGAGCAGAAGCCTGTCAATCTGGTACCCACATCCCAAAATGGCCAATTCTTTACCAGGAGCGGGGGAGGAGCCTTGAAGCATTGTCACCTTCTGGGTGGAGCTCTGCTTTAAAACCATTTGGGTTGATGCTGGAATTGTACTTTAATCACACCCCCAAGTCCCTGTACTGGAGTGGGGACTCGCTGAGGACCAGCAGCTGCACCCATGTCCCCGCTCCCCAATGACTGTGTGAAGGGGGTGCAGATTACCATGTAGGCAGAACCAATCAGAGCCTACATCTCCTACAGATACTTTTGCCATGGCTAGCAGAGGCCCTCACCCCAGCACAGTCCTATCTAGAAGCCCCAGAGGTCTCAGCAGCACCCGTTTGGCATTATGAGCTCTTCAATGTAAACCATCATTATCCCCCATTACTGGATCCCCCCTCTAACATAAGAACGCCAGAGCCATGAACGGTGTTCGATGAGCAGCTGTCAGCTCCTCCGCCCGGACTAGGCCCGTTCCCCCCATGCTGGCGACTCGGACTCCACATGGATGCGGCCTGGCCGGCACATGGCGGCTCCTCTCCTCGGATCACTCACCAGCGAGCGGGTCTGCGGCCCATGATGGCGCTCTGTACCTGTACACAGGAGACACAAGGAGAACACACGGGTAAGAGGCCTGCCAGGCATCCCCCACCGCCCTCCCGATCCCGACTCCCAGGCCCGAGCCGCCATCTCACTCACCTCGCCGACAGCAAAGAGGAAGCTAGCGCGCCTGCGCACTTCCTTATAAACGCGCCCCGCCCATTCTACCACCACCTGACCTGACGTCTGGTAAGAAATGACACTAAACGCCAAGCGGAATGTAACGCTGACGGCCATTTTGTTAGAGACCAATTTCTAGTCCTTCTATGGGTCAAAGTCGCCAGAAATATGTCCTCCCACAACGACTTGTCACATGCTGCAATTTTCTGACCACATCTTCGAAAGTGCACACAAAATGTCTCCTACATTGAAGTATAATTACAGGCAAAAGTTTTTTTTAGGTTTGGATAGAGTGGAGAAGAACTAGAATGCCTGTCAGTTTGTATTACTGCCTGTAACACCCGTGAGGGAGATTCACCTTCTCTATTTGTCTTGTTTACCATTATCAAAAGCTAAAGAAAATCCCACATTTTGGATTGTCCCCAGAAAAAGCAGTAGAGGGGAAATCTTCCAAAGGGGACACTAGTTCTGGTTCTGGTGACCGAGGGGTTCCCAAGGAATTCCCTTCATTTGCAGGGATTTCCTCTCATATCCTGGGAAAGGAAGTGAAGGGAAATCTCCACAATGGGACACAGATAATGAAAAAAATTCTGACAGGGTTATAACCCTCCCTTGATCTATCCCAGGGGTCTGCAACCTTTAAGACATAAAGAGCCACTTGGACCCGTTTCCGAGAGGGTAAAAAAGACTGGGAGCCGCAAAACCATTGCAATATTTAAAACAAATCCGACACTGCATATATTGCAAAAAGCGTTCTGGTCATGAAGGGGGTTTAAGGGCCCAGTAAGCAAAGGGTTAATCAGGGCCACAGTGTATCGTCATAATCACAATCATAGCCTTAGGTCAATGGTGGGCAACCTTTTTTTTCAACTGAGCCAAATCTCGCCAAAACCACGATTGAAATTTATTTTGAGAGCCACATTTTTAAAACTGAAAATACATCCCCCATATAGTAATTCATCCCCCATAGTAATTCATCCCCCATATAGTAATTCATCCCCCATATAGTAATTCATCCCCCATAGTAATTCATCCCCCATATAGTAATTCATCCCCCATAGTAATTCATCCCCCATATAGTAATTCATCCCCCATAGTAATTCATCCCCCATATAGTAATTCATCTCCCATAGTAATTCATCCCCCATAGTAATTCATCCCCCATAGTAATTCATCCCCCCTATAGTAATTCATCCCCCCTATAGTAATTTATCCCCCATATAGTAATTCATCCCCCATAGTAATTCATCCCCCATATAGTAATTCATCCCCCATAGTAATTCATCCCCCATATAGTAATTCACCCCCCATAGTAATTCATCCCCCATATAGTAATTCATCCCCCATAGTAATTAATCCCCCATATAGTAATTCATCCCCCATAGTAATTCATCCCCCATATAGTAATTCATCCCCCATAGTAATTCATCCCCCATATAGTAATTCATCCCCCATATAGTAATTCATCCCCCATAGTAATTCATCCCCCATATAGTAATTCATCCCCCATAGTAATTCATCCCCCCTATAGTAATTCATCCCCCATATAGTAATTCATCCCCCATAGTAATTCATCCCCCATATAGTAATTCATCCCCCATATAGTAATTCATCCCCCATAGTAATTCATCCCCCATATAGTAATTCATCCCCCATAGTAATTCATCCCCCCTATAGTAATTCATCCCCCATATAGTAATTCATCCCCCATAGTAATTCATCCCCCATATAGTAATTCATCCCCCATAGTAATTCATCCCCCATATAGTAATTCATCCCCCATAGTAATTCATCCCCCCTATAGTAATTCATTCCCCATATTGTGTCAATTCACTTACCTTTGCTCCGCACGTTCCTCTCGCCGTGTTCCCGCGCCGTTCCGGTCTTCAGGGTGGACTGTGAGAGGAGAGGAGTTCGTCACGCTGCCCCGCCTACATCCTGACAGCCAATGTTTGCCACGCTCCGCGGGCCGGATTAAAAGGTCCGCCGGGCCGTAGTTTGCCCATTGCTGGGCTAGCTGCAGAGTCCTGACTTTTGGGGCAGCCGCCCGAGAGGCACACAGAAGAGCCGCATTAAAGAGTCTAAATAGCCGCGGCTTGCCGACCACTGAGCTACGGCAACCCTATTGCCTGTCACCTGGTGGGCAGTGTGCTCCGGAGCCGCAGCAAATGTGAAAAAGAGCCGCATGCGGCTCTGGAGCCGCGGGTTGCCGACACCCGATCTATCCAAAATGAAAAAAAGTTTTGTTCTACTTTAACCTCCCTGGCGGTATTCCCGAGTGTAGCTCGGGTTAAAGTTTCAGCACCACAAGTGGTAACCCCAAGCTACACTCGGGAATACCCTGCAGCGTTGCTCTGGGATCCCTCCAGCATTTACCTTGTCCTGCGCTCCCGCGATGTCTCTCCTGCAGTGTCCCCGGCCATGTCCTCCGGCCGATGCTGGCATCTGTCTTCCGGGTTCCGTTCCCTGTGAGCGACAGGACATATGGGGGACGGAACCGGCAGGAATTTCAAAAATGTAAAAACTTGACATTCACTCAATACACTAAAATCTGATAGTATTACATTACTGTATGAAACCATTTCATATACATTTTGTCCCTAGTGCTTTGTCCTGTGCCCTGCCTGCATTTTTACTGTTCTTTCTGCCTTCGTGTTTCAAATTTCATCATACCCGGGATGTTTACTAGACTCTTGTTCGGACAGATTTCAGTGAGGTATTCCTAAGAATTACAGGCCTACAATAAAAAAAACAACATATTTCCATTGAAAACAATGTACCGCTTTGAGCACAGAAATATTGACATAATCAGACCGCTAGGGAGGTTAAGATTATTTAGCACTAAATAAATACGTATCTATTTACTAGTACTAACCCACAGACAGGTTAACAGTATTTTACACTTGTGTCCTTGCTGGTTCCCATAGTTATTTTATACTCAACCAGATGTGTCAGAGGGGCTGAGGTTGTTCTAGGTGTCAAGGTGCAGAACAGAGAACTCCAAGTTACCAAGCGGCTCCTTTGAGGGTAGCCCTACAAATGCATAGCAAAGTGCTTTGTCTAAAAATAACAAGGTTTTGGGACTACTTCAAATTTCAGCTCTCTTATACATGTGTTGCCCTTTGAAGACCGATCCGCAGTGGATAGCTTTTTCAGATAGAATTTACAGGCGGTGAGGGGGCATTATGTCACCTCCTCACTGCCTGTTTTAACCCCAAAAAGCCATACCACCATGGCTCCATCTGGACCTCTCTTAGCTGAAAGGGTTATATTTGGTGGACAGTACTGCTTGTTGAAAGCAATGGTGGGATAAATTCTGCCACACTGCAATGCAAAGAATCGTGGCTGTCACATGTGTACACCCCTGTATGGCTGCCTTTGCAGCTTAGGTGGGATGGCTGGGGGGCAATTGAGGTATTTTTTTTCCCAATAACATTTATTAAATTTAAATTCTTCCAATAAACATAGCATAATTTGCATATATAAGTTCTTTACAAAAGTCCAAGAATAACCAAATCTAAAAAGTATTCAGTTCACTAATTATTCATTTAACAATCAAAAAAAACATAATACAAATAGCAGGTATTTTTTTTTTAAATACTGCAATCAGAATAGATTTCACATTGCCACTAAATGGAGCAGACGATCCTAGGAAATAAATGTACAGTCGTACCTCGGTTTACGAATTTGCGGTATTGCGAAAAGTTCGTAAACCGAAACGCGGTTTCCCATAGAAATGCATTGAAAGCCAATTAATCTGTTCCGGAGGTCAGAAAAAAGTGTAAAAAAGTGTTTTATCTGTTCAAAACTCTTTATAAAGTGCATTTTAAAGGCATAAATACTGTACAGGGACATGATTAAAAAAAAAATAATTGTTAACCGAGGCATTCGTAAACCAAGGTATGCCTGTATTACATTGTGGTGCAGATTTGTTGCACCTGGGAAAATGACTGACACTTTTGCACACCAAATGTTTAAGGGCCCTTTCACACTGATCAGTTATCTCATTGTTTCCTTAGTTAAATATCTGTGCAGTTCTCACTCTTGCCATGCAATGTCCCCATCTGCCCTTCTTATTTCATTTGTGTGGAATTATTTTTAGGAGAAATCTTCCCTTTTTAGATCTAGCATTAAAGTAGTTCTAAAGGCTGAAGGTTTTTACCTTCATGCATTCTATGCATGAAGGTAAAAAATCTTCATTGTGCAGCTCACCCCTCAGCCCCCCCCAATACTTACCAGAGCCCAATCCCGATCCAGCAATGTGCACGAGAGCAGCAACTCTCAGGGGTCTCTCTCTCCTCATTGGCTGAGACACAGCTCCCGCTGCTGTCAAGCACAGCCAGTCAGGAGGAAGCGTGACTGAGCCATGCTCGTGTGTCCCATAGACACACAGAGGTGGCTCAAGAGTGAGCATGCACAAGTGCCCCCAGAGCAAGCAGCTTGCTCTGGGGGCATTCAGCAGGGGGGAGGGGTCAAGACTCATCTTGGGGAGGTCTGTATCAGAATTGATGTGAATGGGACTGAGCGCCTTCTCTTACTTCCCAAGAATAATTTGTTATGATCACAAATATAATTAGGGTATTAACTAACCCCCTAAATGTACACAACCACTTCAAGATAGAAATAAAAAAAAGAACTAGAAAATAGTGTTAATCAAACACCCATGTTAGTTACAATTTTTTGGAAAATGTAGAAAAAAAAAAATCACAAGTTTTTTCTTTTTACATATTTTCACCAGTCCAGTACAGCGTTATTATATAACTGGTGTGGTAGTGATTAGAGACACTGACTGGTGACAATATGTAAAAACAATAAAAATAATAATAATAATTTAATTTGTATTTTTTTTCAATTTTTTTCAATTTTTTTTTATTACATTATTTTTTCTTTTTTTTACTATTTTGTTCAACACTCTATGACCAAAGCAATACAATGGTACTATAGTAACATTGAACTACTCTGGGCAAGTGATCAGGATTTGTTTTTCTTTTTTTTTTTAACGCATGCTTGCTAATACCAATGTATTTCATTGATATTTGCAATCATTGTTGCTGAATGAAACTGATTAATTCAGTCTTTTGTTGTGAGTAGCTGTGATTGGGCAAAGCTCATCACATGATACAGATGGGCTGTGATTGGCCCTGTCTGTATCATGTGACTGCTTTAACCAGTCACAGCTAACAACATAATTGTATACAATGGAAGTCATGGCAGGAAGCCATCCATTGTATTCAATTGACATGTGATCTGCTGTGATTGGTCACAGCAGTCACATGACACTAGCAGTCGGTGACAGATCACGCCGCTGTGCAGCCCTGCGGCCGCGTGAGCGGCTTGTTTTGACATGACGTCATATGACAATGAGGACTGTCCTGCCCGGCCGTCAATCTGCTATAGACCAATCGGGAAGGTGTTAAAAAGAGATCAATTACGCTTTGTGTCACCAGGGTTTATAATCTCAGTGGGTTTCTTCTCTGTATTCTCTCCTTTTGGTTCCACAGTTTCGAATCACCGTAAATCAGAAAAGAAAATTCTCATGGTGTAGTAAATTTATTAAAAATAGTTTCCATGTAAACAACAAGGGTGTACTCATATTTGTTGGTGCCCAATCCTCGTCACTAATACACTCAGCTTTACTGCACCGCCACCGCTCTCCACCCTGGAATCTGCGTGCATTCCAATGGCCACCCTGGAATCTGCGTGCATTCCAATGGCCGGAGCTGTAAGCGACGTCAACAGACCCAGATGTGTGATAGAGGACTCTGTAAGTAGCATATACTAGTCTGTCTCTATCATGTTGAAAGCTCCTCATGTCCATGGAGGGACAAGATCCCCCTGATAGTGCTCACTGTGATGGTTCTGTGAGTTTGGGATAATCAGTCCGTGATTTTGGATTTAGAATCCTCTAGCTGGACTGGTCATCAGGCCACAGTGTGGTTCTGGGTTTGGTGGTTCCTCTTCCAGGGATCAGATGCAAGGAAACAGAGTCCTTAGTTCAGAGAAATGATCTTGGATAGCCCTGAACTGAAGTTTGCAGGTGCACCAGGTAATATTTGTTCTGCATAAGTTGGATCACATCAGGTGAACAGTGTTTGGAAAAGTGGTTGTTGGCCTGCTGAATGTTATGCACTGCTGCGGTATTGAGTAATTGGGTTTCTTCTGAAAAGTACCGTTAACCTTGTGCTTATTTTGATTGATATTGCTCATCACAGGTGTTTTCAATACCTGATGGAAAGAACCTGTATGAACTCTGTTCTCAACGTGGTCAGTCCAATGAATGAATAAAACCACATCAAGAACCCATCTTATTACTGTATTACATAACACAATTGATGCTCATTTTAGTTGCATGGTTCTGTGGATTGTGAGGATAAAATCAGTCCGTGATTTTGGATCTTGTTGTCTTAGTGACATTGCTGTTGCAGAGGTACCGCTGGGTGTGTCTTGGAGCTTCCTAGAAAGAGAAGCTGGGGATTGCAAAGCATTAGCAAGGTGACAGTGTTTCTTTAGTGTGCAACATAATGCCCAGTTGTTTGGTGGTGGTCGCATGGAGGAACCAGCATGCTTGTCAGGACCTGAATCATCTGCTGGTGGCGCTATGCTTCTCAAAGTGGAAGGCTGTATTTCTGGTATCCAGCAGCAGGTATCTCCCAGCAGACAGCAAATCTCAGTAATCAGTCTCCACCTGATGCTGGCTGCTGGGTGGGTATTTAGGTCCTCCTCTGCTATTACACTTAGCAACAGTGTTTTGCTTTTGCTTGCCTGATTATGCTTGCTGCCTAGATCTTTCTCCTGCCCTGCATTTTGTACCCTTCTGCCTCTTATCTGTTCCCATTGTTCCTGATCCCAGTCCTGGTTTCCCTTTGCCATCTGTTCCCTGCATCCCCAATTTACTTTGTTTGTCCATGTTCTTCATGTTGTACATACTGTACAGTATATACTGTAGTTAGTTTTATTAGTTAGAATTTCTGTTATTCTGTTAGGTCATTTAGTTAGATATTTTGTCACTGGGTTTTGGTTCCCTTGCATATTCATGTTTGCTGGTGTTTGGATATTTTTTGTTTCACTGTAAATAAATCTTACTTTAAGCCCCTGTTCACATCGGGTGTGACTTGTCATGCAACTTGACAGATCATAATCGCCCGACATAATTGCACCCTATTTGCCACTTTGGAATCATTGAAAGTGGTG